TTGATTTCGTGTCCCAGATATTTGTAAGTGTCTGTTTGTTGTATGGTATTATTGTCAATAGTTATATTTCCACTCATTACGAGATTTGTTATAAGTTTAGTTTTCTCAAAGTTTATCTTTAATCCTGCTCTTTCAGACAGACTTTTAAGCGAATGCATCATAGAAACTGTATCATTTAAATTATCTGCGATTAATACAACATCATCTGCAAATCTTAGGTGATTTAATCTTTCTCCATCTATATTGATGCCCATATCTTGCCATTGAGTGCTCTTAAATATTGACTCTAGAGCTGCCGTGAACAATTTTGGTGAAATATTGTCTCCTTGTCTAACTCCTCGACCTAAGCTGAATTTTTTTGTGTCTTCGTGTAGTCGTATACTTGATGTAGCGTTCTCGTAGATGTTTTTGATTAGTGTCGTGTACCTGTAATCTATTCGGCTTTGATTTAGGGCTTCCAGTATTGTTTCAAACTCTACAGAATCAAAAGCCTTCTCGTAATCGACAAATGCAAGAACCAGTGGTATGCTGTACTCGATGCACTTTTCTATTAAGATCTTTATGGTATGCAAATGGTCATTTGTGCCATATCCTGCCCTGAAGCCTGCCTGTTCTTTGGGCTGATAGAAATCAAGTTTAGGTGTTAGCCTTTTTGTTAAGATTTTCATAAAGAGTTTGTACATATGTGTCAAGAGGCTGATGGGTCTATAATTTTCTAATTTAGTAATATCGCCTTTTTTGTGTAACAAGACTATTACTGCATTGTTCCAGTCTTTTGGAATCGTACGCGCATGTAAGCATTTATTAAACAGTTCGCTTACTGATTTTAATAAAATTTCTCCTCCTGCTTTTATTGCCTCGATAACGAGTCCATCATCACCAGGCGATCGATGGTTCTTCATTTCCTTTAAAGCTGCTCTTACTTCTGACACAGTAATGGATAAAAGTATTTCCGATCCCTGATTTATGAGAGTCTTTAGTCGTGCCGGGAAATTGTCTTGTGGTCTTTGGCTGGTATAGAGGTCTTTATAAAACTCTCTGGTTATTTTCAGAATGTTTTGTTTATCTGTTGTTGCCTTTCTGTCTTTATCTCTCAGCTTGTATATTTCTTTTTTACTTTTTGTGAGTTTTCTTTTCATTATTTTTGAACCTTTGTTCTCTTCTACTGTTTAAGTAATTTCATTAGTATTATATCTTCTTACATCTTATCTAATTTCCGCTGAAATTCTTTTATTTAGTTTTTTTATATTTTTCTTTGTTTCCCTTTTCGTTCTCGCTTAGGTTTCGTCGTATTTCCATGAGAGCTTTTGTATTTTTGATAATCTTTTCACTTTTGGTGTCATTTTTCTTGCAAAATTTGAGTTGTGCGTTTCTAACCGAGTTTGTTATTAATTTATTGTGATCGTCGATACTTAGAGGTTTGGGATTATTACTCTGTAAAGTTTCGGCTATATTTTTTATGTATGCTTCTGGATGATTTGGTGAATTCCAAACTATGCGTTTGCAACTGTTTATCATCTTTGCTCTTTCTTTTAGTATATTTATCGTTACTCTAGCTCTTACTGGTCTGTGGTCGCTTCCTACTGATAGTTTATTGAGTACAGTGACATCTTGAATAATTTGCAAAAGCAAATTATTCAAAAAAATTAAATATAAAACATACAAGGCATATACAAAATATTATATTAAATAGTTCATCAGGCTACTAAGCAAAAAATGTGTTTCATATACTTAAATAAATGAATACTGTGAAGAACGATTGTACCACGCAGCCTTAAATAACTTAGTGCTATGAGATGCAACGATGCTTCTTGTGTCATCAGTAAGTTCGGTATATGAGAACGAAAACTGTCGTAACTCAAAATCGCTTATTCTAAGATAATTGCGTTTAAAAATAATTGTGATAAGTGACCTGTAATTTTTTAATTATTACTACTGCGTTTTTAATTTTTTTACTTAGTAATTATTTGTGCAATCAGAATTATTACAATACATCGGTATTGTTCAGATTCGGAACCAGTTTTTTGATCTGTAGAGCACTCTGGTAGAATGTCATCACTAGCAGGCCGCACGCAGCGAGTTATAAAAGTCATGGTACATTGCTGGTATCAAATTGGCTTTATATAAAGTTAATAGACCATTTATTTTTTACTGTTAATTGGTATAAACGTGAAACTTTATATTGGGGTTTACATAAGTTTAATGTTGTGATGTCGAGTTTTTTGTAATTTTCTAGAAAACTGTAGATAAAATAACCTTTATAAGGATTCTTCGCTTCCAAGTGAATTTCCCTAATTTTGCTTATCTTTACCACCTCCGCAGTGCTAGTTCTCTTCCAGTTCTGTTTCTGAACCATTGGTTTAAAACTAAAAAAGTCTTTTTGAGACATTTTTTATGCTTTGTACTGTGGGAAAGTAACTTTTGTCATCTTTATGAGGCTAATCCACTAATCAGGAGTATAAATATTCAAATGTCGTTTCTTTGTAACTTCTTCCACAGTGTGTATGCTGCCATTTTTGTTCTGGGTATGACCCATCTCAAGGAAACGGTGTGTTATTTCCAGATCCAAAGTAACTGACGCATAGCAAACATCTAAGGGCGTTACTAAGTCCTTCTGCAAATCAAAGCATATTGTTAAAAACTATTTATCACTTTTTGACAATTTCTTTTAGAATCTTTTGGATTTTTCATAGATTCTTTGTTTAAAACATAGGTGGTGTAATTTTCTTCCATTGATTGAGTTCTTTTCCCCGGATCTGTATTGTTATAAGCACTGCATACTGAACACTGATCTTTCTTAAGAAAAATACAATGTTGAATTGTGAGTTTGGAGTATTCCTGTAACTGTAGAAACGGCATCCTATTTCTTGAGTTTGGCATATTCCACGTACATTCGATGCATTATAGATTTGTTTAAGCCCTCTTCTAAGTACATGCGTTTTGAATTCTTTCTTGTATAATGAAAAGGTACAAGTTCAACTAATTTTATATGTTCTACAATGTTATCTTTTACACTATCTAGGATCTTGTGCGATCTAGTAGTATATTTTCTTCTCTTATCTGCTTCTATGGTACCAGCTTAACTAATTTATTTTAATGCAGTGCTAACAAAAGTTTCAGAAATCGCAAGCGTATTCGAGAACATTGTCTTACAAATTTGTTTTTCGACATTACCGATAATAAATTTAGATTTGCGCGAAAAGTTTCTCCTAGAATTGTTTAGAGTGATTTACGTTTTACCTTGTTGTGTCACGCACCTTGTAAGAAAATCCCACTTCCTGATGTGATTTCCAAGTTTTTAAAATTTGTCAAAAATTACTTGTCTTGTTTTAAAATTTACAATGCTCTTACATTTCTATCTGCAAATATCCTTACAAGGAACCTTCATCTTCTTTGCAGGTTAAACCTATCTTTGCGGTTTTTATGATCCAGGCCGCTGTTAAGTTCTCTTTTGACTTTTTTGTCAATCTATTCGTTTTTATTTCCAACTCGTTTTCTTCCTATCTTAACCTTTTACTGTCCAATAGCCTGTCCAATGACATATTACTTCTCTTGTTATCAAATAGATTTAAATTTTCCTTTTCGGCTTCTGATAATAAGGGAACATAGTTTGGATCATCATCGGAATAACTAGAAGGAAATATATTATAGGATATATATAAACTATAGGAAATTCGTTTTATGTAACAATAAAACACTGAAAACTTTGTTTTCAAACTTGCACAAAATTTATTTTAACTCTTATCACTACAGTTGTTTCGGCTGATTGCCTTTCTCAAGTGATCTATTTTTGGCTTGCGTTTACACTTTATAGTCTCTAATGAAATAGGTTGAGGAGGGGAGAACTGTTTGTCTCAAGTTGGTCATTCAGAATTATATCTGTGTTTTTTAATTTGTTGATTTCCATAGATTTTAACAAAGATAGCTTAAGGCCTTTATTTTGAATGTGAAGAATTTTAAATTTGTCTTTAAAAGAATGATTATGATCTAGAAGGTGAAGTGCGTATGTAAAATCTGTTTTTCTTTTATTTATGTTATGAAAGCCTTTTATGTTCTCCCCTCCTCAACCTATTTCATTAGAGACTATAAAGTGTAAACGCAAGCCAAAAATAGATCACTTGAGAAAGGCAATCAGCCGAAACAACTGTAGTGATAAGAGTTAAAATAAATTTTGTGGAAGTTTGAAAACAAAGTTTTCAGTGTTTTATTATTACACAAAAAAATAAAAAAAATTTAAATGAAAAAAAAAAGAAACGTTTAACTGATTAAATACCTAGATTGTTCCTTTGAAATTACCTTTTTCACTGTCCACGCTATGTAGAACATTCAGATACTGGCAGCAACTTACCAGATATTGTTTGTGTATTATTATTAACAAGTACTCAAAAAAATTCGTTTAATTCTCTGCGTTATTCGCTTGAAACGTATAGCCTTATCTCGGTCCCTACTCACAAATTTACAGCGAATACTATAGTAACTCCAATACTACTTTCTTCGCAGTAAAGTACAGAGAGCAATGAGGTACTACATTTACATTAATGTATATTGTGGTGTCTATATTACGATTTGAGTTATTATAGCATTCTCTGGAAGAAAATTCAGTATCATGAAATCTGTTTATGGTAAAAACTCAAAATTGAAAAAAAAATGGTACGAGTTTTCGTTGGGAGGTCGAGATGCATACTTGCTTCTCATGGCATTTAATGTGTTAAATATATAAAAATATTTAGGTAAAAAGGTAAAATCCATAGGATTTTAATCGTTTTAAATTTTGTTTTTTTCCCCTAAAAAATATAGTTTTTCAGCGGAATTTTGTGTCCTGTTTCTGTACATAGTTGTGCAGTTTATACTTGCGCAGTATATAAAACATCACAAAACTGTCTACATTTAAAATAAATTTTCTAGCAATAAAATGTTCGGCTACTGACCTGCACTTAATTAATTCAAATTCAACAATCATTTGAAGATCGATTGCCTTACATCTTAATTGTGCACCATCTTATCCCCACCAATAATTTGAATAATCAGCCAAAAATTATTCATTTAAATAGAAAATTAGGATTTTATCTGATATTCGTTGCTCGTCATCAAATAAACGCAAACTAAAAATGAAGGTACAAATTGTTTTATTGGCTGGATTAATCGCTCTATGTGTTGCGGCACCACCACCACAACGCGAGTCCAGAATTTTAAAATACGACAGTGACGTTAGGGAAGATGGATATGATTTCGCGTAAGTAAATGACATACATATTGTTACAATTTTTATTCAACTACTAGATTTTCAATATTTATTTTACGAAATATCTTATATTCGTGCAAGATCTAAAGACGGTTGTTTGATACTTCCTAATAATTGACAAAAATTAGTTTAACTTATGACATATAATTGAAAAATATATTTCTTTTGTAGCTAAACAATTGCTAAGAAATTTAAATTTTATCAATTTCTTTTCCTTGAATAGTCTTTGTCTTGAAGAGTATTTGTTTTCAGGTCGCTTTAACCTGAACAATAAATTGAATTGAAATGCTTGACTATAACTAAATTATTCTTATTGTCACCACCGTGTAGCTGGATGTAATAGGTCAATATAGATTTTGGTAATTGTTTATACAAGAGTATTCTGGTGGAATTAGGTTTTGCAATAAGCATTTTAATACCTGTACACCATGGTAACGTTACATTTTTTTCCCATAACCGCAGTTCTTTCAATTGTTAATTTTGTCAACAAATGTTTCCAGTTTTAGTAGGTATAGGACTGGTCCTAATGACTACTTATATTTTGAGTTAATTAGCCTTAGTGATCTTCTGTTAACCTAACATTTTTTAATATAAGTTTTTCTTGATAGTGGCAGTAACGTTAGAATCATCGGTTCTACTTCTTTATTTTTACTTAAAAAACCTAATTTAGCACTTACTTATGATGTTTCAGTTCAACTCACTACTGCTGATAGGAAACATTCAAAGTACTTTAGGATATGTTTAGTTACCTGTTACTTTATTAGGTAAAACTTAATCACTTATTATTATATTATTATTATTATATTAAACAACAATCAAATGATATTAGGTATGGATTTTATTCGTTTGTTTAAACGTTCTTTGAATTTCTTAAATTTTTCATTTAAGGGTACAAAGTTATCTACTTGTGTAGTAAATACTATTATCAGTTCTGAAAATCTTTCTGACATTCAGCAATCACAACTCAACTCTGCTTATCATAGTGGTTCTTTAAATGTAGTAGCTGACTCTCTTTCAAGAATTCCTAAAGCATCTCTGGTTTCTCTCTTCAATTTATCTAATTTAATAACAGATGCTTGGTATTGGAATATGATAGCAAAAGTTACAGATCATCCTTACTTATATCCTGCTTTTAAGGTTCAGGATAATGTCCTTTATAAACATGTTTTTCCCAGATCGAAGTTTTCTGATTTTGCTCAAGAATGAAAATTTTTGTTCCTTCTCTACATATTGTAGAAAGAAAATTTTGCAAATGTATCATGGTGATCATACAGCTGCTCATTTAGGTGTCTTTAAAACCCTTTCTAGGATTTCAGAATTGTATTAGTGGCCTAAAATGAGATCTTTTGTTGTGAACTATGTTCATAAATTTAAAGTTTGTGCTTCTTGGAAGCCTAGTAACTTACCTCCAGCTGAACTTATGGTTTCAGTTTTTATCTGCTGATTTACTTGGTCCATATCCTAGATCTAAAAATAGAAATTGTTATCTTTTAGTTGTTGTTGACTGGTTTAAAAAGTTCATGTTTGTACATCCTTTGGCTAATGCTACTTCTAAAGCTATTGTCAAGTTTATTGAAAATCAAGTTTTTTTATTTTTATCTTTGCAGTTGATAATCGAAAAAAATTTGTTTCTAAAGATTTTGTTTTGTTTACGCCTATATGTTTATGTTTTTGCAGTTTTTGTGATTATCAGTATTTATTGTTTTATTTTTGCTGTTTTTTGTTGTTGTTTATTGGTATTTGTTTATCCCTACAAGTTCTGCTTTCCTCTTTGCCTTATTTATCAGTTGTTACAAAATAAAACTTTGTTTGATCTACTTCTTCTTTATGCGCCTATCTTCTAGAGATGTTGGCAACCATATTGACCCATCTTATTCTATTCACAGCAGCTCGAAATAGATCATTTAACGTTAGACCAGTCCATTTCCTAAAATTGGTCAGCCAGGATATACGTCTACGTCCAGGACCTTTCTTGACCTTAATCTTGCCCTGTAGAATCAGCTGTAGAAGTCAGTATTTATCATTACGCATGATGTGGCCAAAATAAGCCAATTTTCTGATTTTTATGGTGTTAATAATTTCTTTGACTTAGCTTATCGAGAATAGATATATTACTTGTATGGTGTATATATATAAGACCCTCAACATACGTCGGTAGCACCACATTTCAACTACCTTCAATCGCTTTATGGCATCTTCTGAAAGACTCCAGATTTCTATTCCATAGAAAGGACACCGGGACACTAAAGACGTTAACATAACAGTCTTCTAAATGCTGTTGAAAGAGCTTCTGGCGTTTTCCATGCGAGTTTTTATTTCGTAGCTGCGATCCCAAGTATCATTAAGATTGCAGCCCAAGTAGCTTATTGTTTCCACTATTTTTAACGGTGTATCATTAATCGTAATTTGGGCGTTTATGCCGGTGTTCTTACTAATGATCATTATTTTTGTGTTATTGCAATTTAGTGCTAGACCGTATTTGTAACATGCTTCTACAACGTGTTATAGATCATTTTTTGGAGCTCCTGCGCACTATCTGCCAGCAACACTGTATCGTCTGCATATCTAATGTTGTTTATAAGTTGGCCATTTACAGTAATACAATCTTTTGGTTCGTTTAAGGCCTCTCTAAAGATGCAAGGCCTTCTTTTGTTAAAAAAGAATTGATGTGGTGTAATTCGATTTTTATCATTAACGAAATTTTCAGAAATAATTTTATATCTAGCTTTAAAATTACAGTGAATCAGTTAAATCTTCCCAAATATGATATTGTATTTGTTTATATACAAGTATTCCAGGATATGATGGTAAAAATAATAGAAAGCCTCCTATTTTTTTTGTATACATCGCTTTGCTTAATATTTTGACAGAAGTTAAAAAAATAGTTCAAAGTTCAAAATCTACCATATGATAATCATGTGGCTCTCCTCTGGGGTAGTTACCATTCCAACTTGTGATAAAAAAAAGTTTATTAAAAACCACCCATCTTAGTCGCTAGAATAGTAAATTTTAAGACAAAAATATGGTAGTTTTTTTTAAGTCAATATTTTTGGAATAACTCGTGAAAGAGTTGACTGTAAGTTGCCAAATAACACGTTCAAAACATGTCTTTAAATTTGTTTTCACGATAATTCCAAAACTTAACATGAAGCTTATAAAAGAAAGAGATTAGTCTTTTATTATTACCGTGAATTTAATATTAACAAATTTATGGCTGGTCGAAAGTAGACTTTTCTTCATCGAATTCAAAAATCCAAACATACTATGATATTAAATAAGCAAAAAAAAATTTTCATAGAAAACTTTTACAAATTTTTTCCTAATCTAAAAATACCTTTAAAATGACTACCGCGAATTGTCGTCCTCCGCCCAATTTTAAAAAATTTGCATATACTGAGGAAAGTGCGAATTCGTGTCCCAATAAAAGATAATAAAAACTTAATTTATCCTTCAATGAATTTATTTTGTATCTCAGAAAATATTTTGTCAAGATTAAATACTTAAAAAATGCAAACTATTTTATTAAAAAAAAAAAACAAAAAAAAAACAGAAATTTCTATTAAATAATATAAAAAATTTAATTTTTTAGCTAAGTTAACTTAATTTTCTTTAAGATGCACCCATACATGGTTTTGGGTGGTCTGGATAAGAAAGACGCTGAAACAGAGTGTGTTTTTGTAAATTCTTTATTGTACAAATATGTACATTTTTTTGCGCATGATGTGATCTTTTTTATTAGTTGTAGTAGTTTTACTAATAATATGTTGGGCATTTTTCACGTTACTCATATTTACTAATTAAGGTTCTGGTAACAACCTTTTTAAAACTGACCTAAATTTAACGAGATTTATTTTTTTGACGTATTATTTATGAATTAATCATGATAATTTTGAATAATACGTATTTTTAACTTCTTATACCACTGTAAAGTTTTCCGCATTACTGGATAGTAGGCTATTTGCTGATCCTAATGATCTAGGCTTTCTATCATCATCATCATTCTGGCTTTATAACCCTGCGTGAGTACTAGCCTCCTTAAGAATTTCTCTCCAGTCGTCCCTATTCATCCCCTTTCTCCGCCAAGCTCATATTCCCAAATTTCTCATGTATTCATCGATGTTATCAAGAAACCTTGTTCTGGGTCTTCCTCTGGGTATATATTAAACAAGAGATTGTGATCTGTGACATACATATAACTTTTTTCAGAGCTAAATTCAACAGTATACAGGAGAGATCTCCCTGGCGCAGCCCATTATTTTTTTAAAAGGTTCAGACAGTTCCCCCTGAATTCATACTCAACATTTAACTTTTTTAAGAGTTAGTTTTTTTAAATTTACCAACTGATTTGGTATTCCTAGATCTGTCATGGCTTTGAACATTTCTCTTCTATTCACAGAGTCGTAGGTTGCTTTGTAGTCTATAAATATGTAATGAGTATCAATGTCATATTCCAATGGTTTTTCTAAAATTTGTCTCAGGGTTGCAATCTGATGAATTGTAGATTTACCACCTCTAAAACCAGCCTGGTATTTTCCTACTATTCATTCTGCATATGGTGACATAGTATTATGGAAAATATTTTATACGCTGCATTTAGAAGCGTAATTCCTCTGTGGTTAGAGTATTTAAAGATATCTCCTTTTTTGTGTATGGTGCAAAGTCTTCCAATATTCCAATCGTTGGGGAAGGATTTCTGTGTTCTGAAGGTATTTCTTTCATAAGCAGCTGTATTGCCATGATGTATCATAGCTGTATCATAGCCACCTTCTTTGTATTGTTCAGCTAGGAGATTATCTATTTCGGGTGATTTGTTTCTGGCTAGTTTTTTAACTGCATCTTTAACTTCAAGAATTGTTGTTGGTTCCTCTTTCCTCTCGTCGGCTCCCCTTACCTTATCTCTTTCGTCTTCCAGGTTTTCTTCTTTTTCCTCTATATTAAGTGCCTGGTTAAAGTATTCCACCCATCTACTCAATATATCTTTCCTTGTTGTT